CAAATCTATCGGGTTTGAGGGGATTTATAGAACTTTAACCAACTAACATTTTAGTTTTCCCAAGATTTTTTTTTAATTAAAGATATTATCTCAGGTTATAATAACGTTAGCCTATATGAAATGTTATATACTATGATTACTCAGTGAGTTACTGGCTTTAATCCAAGCCATTGACTATTAAAATCGGCTGAGTTGAACATGAGTTGTGGACCCCCAAACAACAAAAATTTGATTGTCTTTACAATTTATCTTTAATAATGATTGTGCCTCAAGTTGTTTTTACGTGATATTGTATGTTGTGGTATGGAAATACTCAGTGAGTTAATGCGGTTCTTTTCAGCTCTTATTTATTGCAATCTGACATGTTTGGGGCGAGTTATAAGAGAGAGAGAGAGAGAGAGAGAGAGAGAGAGAGAGAGAGAGAGAGAGAGAGAGAGAGGGAGAGAGAGAGAAATTCTTTATTTACAAATTATTTTGCAGCATTACATGAACCAAATAAAAAATATCACATGGGTCACAGTGACCTGTGCGTGATAGAGTCCTTATTTGGCTGCTTAAAATCAAAATAAAAGTTCTTCACACTTCACATAAAAAAAAAAAAAAATAGAACACTAACTTAGTAAAATAAGCATAACAATTAATTTACTATACAATTATAATTAAAAAAAAAACTGTGAAACCTAACAACCATATGCAAATGTAACTCAATAGTAGGGGAGCTCATTGCTTGCATTACATCCAATACCTGTTTACCAATACACATTAATTTTTTTCCTTCGATTCCCAATTTTACTGAGGCGTGGATTCCGTCAAGTAAGAGTGCTGTAGAAAGTACAATAGATAGTCCAGTTATCAGTTGGTTAGGTCTAAACGAGATATTCTGGGCTGATAAGCGACTCTGTATTGTCGAGGCCTATCTCCATCAGCCAATTAATTAGCGATAACCCTCTTATATACACTCAGTGACACTCGCAGGTCCCTAATTTCTGGAGGAATATTACGCAGCAAGCAATTAGCAATGTAAAAGGAATTTGTTAAATTGATTGATTTGAGAACTCTTGGGACCCGTAATCCCATCATCACCGAGTTTCTGGTATGATAGTTATGAACTACGGGCGATGCGATAAGGTCTAAATGAATGTATGAATAAGCTAATAAATCTTTAACATATAGCTGCCTTATTGATAAAAGCTGAGATTCTTTGAACAGATGATCAGTAGAATAACGTCTCGGTTTTCTTAAAGCAGCTTTAATTATTGATTTTTGAATTACGAACAAAGGTTCAATTACCGATGAATAAGCCCCTCCCCAAGCTATTAAACCATACTGCAGATGAGATTGAACGTATGCGTAATAAATTCTTTTAATTTCTTCATGTCTTAAAATTTGACCCAATTGGTGAAAAACAAAAATCACTTTTCTAAGTTTGTTAAAAAAAAATGCAAGATAAGCTTATAAGCTTAAACGTAGAATAAAAGTTGTTTTTTATTAACTTTCTTCTGTATTTAAAGACATATTTCTCAGCTGCTATGTGTACTATGTTATTCGATCTGGTCTGAAAACACTAGGTCACCTTAGAACTTTCATTTGAGACAATTTTCATTTAAATATGTAGAGCTTAAGGTGAGTTGTAGACCTCTAACTAACATTAGGTTCTCAATTTTTAAGGACTGCCTTTTATTAAAGATCTTTATCTCAAGATCTAAATGAGCTGTGTTATTCATTTTGGTAAAGAAAACCTCAGTAAGCTATGGGTAAACTCAGATATGAACCTAACCTGGTTTATTCCTATCAAGTTTTTTCTTTGTTGCGTTTGATATACACCAGTGAACAGAATTGAAAAATATGTAGTTGCGTGAGCTCAGGCTTACCTTGCACAGTATTTTGTCATTATGGATATAATACCTTATAGAAAAATACAAACTCAAGACGTCAGTGAAGACTACGACAATGTAGAATAATGAGTTAATACCCCCACTGCAGCAAACCTGACGAATAAGCAAACTTCCATTTGCCTGGATTGATTTTCAATTAATCTATTAAATTCACATTTATGTTTAACGAGTACCTAGGTTTGCTTCTAAAGGGAAACTAAGTGTATTTTATAATAAAATATTAATAGCTTAGTATAGAATAAATAAATCTGCCAAGTTTGATCAAAATATATCCAAAAACAAGCCAACTAAAACATTTTACAATATTCTCCTTAAGAATAACATGGGATTTTAAATGAACTATTTTTTAAATTTTCTATATATATATATATATATATATATATATATATATATAAATATTTGTCCATAAAATAATTTCGTTTTTTTGGGTTTTTTTAATCTGTATGTCTATATAATAATTCATTCTCCCTTTTTCAAACCATGTGTAATAATTGTCCAAGCAGACCAATAGTAAATAATTATGTTAATTCAATATAATGTTATAAAGAAAACTTTTAAATAACCTAATTATCTAAATATGTGATAACCTATAGGCCTACCCTTTTCTAACAAAATTGCTTCAAATGTAATATAATTTACTTAAAGACCTTTTTCTCCAAGTTCAAAATTAGTTCTTTAGTAGATGTAAGTTGTTATAGAAGGTGTGTGAACAGTGTCCTACAAGTCTACAGTGATATAGTCAGCATTGGCATGTGATTTGAGTGCAACAATGTCCTAAACCTTCCGCACTTCCAAGAGAGCTGAGCTAGTGTTAACAGACTATATATAAAGTCAAAGTAGAATTCTTTTGTTACATCAAAATTTGTCCCCAAAAAATTATATTTAGACAAAGTGATTAAAAGTTTATAAAAGAAGTTTCACAGGTCATATAATGTCCCTTTTATAAACATCAAGAAGTATTTTGAACTGTAAGAAGAAACCTAAATTGGGCGAGATCACTCCTGTAAACTCTTTACCTGAAAGCCATAAGAACAATTTAGACCATAACTTTTTTAACTTTCATACAAAATTTTAGCATCAATAAACTATTTGAAACCTATCCCAGAACATTAATTTGACTAAGAGACGAGTTTTAAGGAATATATAATTACATAACCAAAGTTGAACTTTTAATCCTTATGTGAAGATAGTCTATCCAAAGATCAATTATTACATAAACCAGAATTGAACAGTCAACTTGATCTCAAGTTTCAGTCATATCCTGCTACAGTACTGAGTCTTTATTAAATTTATAATAGCTTATTATACATTTAGTTCTCCAGGACTATTGATTAATGTAACCAAACAACCTAATCAAATGATTAAAATCCGACGCCCGCCTGATCACCCAACCTCAGATCTAGAGAACACGTAACAAACCCCTGAGCCTAAATTGAGAACATTGTATTGGCCTAATAAAGCTTTAAGCAACTTCAAGTAAACTTCCTACATTGTAAACCTTGATTGTAAATCCCTTTTTTCCATTATCATTTTTGTATCTTCATTAAATAAAATTAAGATTTTGTATTGTAAATTTGGAGTTTCCATTTTAGACCTAAGTTAAGATTTAATACAATAATAATTTTGACAGCTTTATCACGGCCACATTTAACGCGGGTGATGAATGTCTGCTAAAAATATAAATAAATACTGTGTCATATGGAGTAGCAATGGTCATCAAGTCTTTAAGCTCTTCTTTTATTCCTGGTTGACTAAATGGCAGCCATTTTGGATGCCATCTTGAATTGAAATGACACCCTATTTTTTCCTTATGCTTACAAAATATTTTAACAGAATTATTTTTTGCTTTTAATAAAATAAATACATGCATTTTTATTTAATTACAAATGAGCATACACAGGTCCATACGTAATTTTATGTAACTTTTTAAAATTACATTTAATGCGTTATTTTAAATCTTAACAAAATTTCCAGTAATTGGACTTAAGCCTCGTTTACACGGGGCGAGTTTACAAGCTACTCGCTGGCTTTTTTACACTCAGCTAGTAAAATAGCTCAGTGTGAACGACGTACTCGCTCAAAAGCTGCTTGTAAAAAAGCTCTGGAAAAAGTTGACGCTGCAGCTACTTTACACGCCAACTCGCCAGCTTTTGAGCGAGTAGGCGTGTAAAGTAGCCCAGTGTGAACACAGTTGCTTGTGCTTGTGCGCGTGTGTCGGAGGATTTGGTTCAAGCTAGCTACTGAGCGAGTGGAAAAAGCATCGTGTGTAACGACGCGCACTCGCTGACTCACCGGCGTCTTTCTACACGTCAGCGAGTTGGCGAGTGGACAAGCTCCGTGTGAACAAATACAAGCACACTCGCCAACTCGCCGGATTCTTACACGCTGGCGAGTAGCTTGTAAACTCGCACCGTGTGAACGAGGCTTTAGTAATAAAAATTGGCCCAAAAGGCGTTGGTGAGCTCATAAAAACCGCAATTTCTTTAAGAGTTTCTACAATAACAATTATTAATGCTCACCTTTGCCTTAATTTAAGACCAATTCTTATGATTAAAGTGTCATTTGCTTGAAATTTTCGAGATGATTTCAAGGTTACCTTAGGTGTATAACTTTGTCACGTTTAGCACTTATTTTACATACAAATTTACATGTACTTCTTAGAGAAGGAGTATTTAAATAATATATTTTTTATATCTTGTAGACGGTTAAACCAAAATAGTTATATCATATACTTTCTTGTTGGAAATTTAATATTATTTTATTTCTCGATTTTGTATAGCAAACAAAAGTTGATAGTTTTCGAGATATTCAGGAAAACCCCAAAAAATGTACCTAACAGCGGCCATTTTTGACGCCATCTTTGATTAGAAAAAAATGACTCTTTAATTTTTTTATTACTACTGTATAATAAAATCTCTCAAAATATGATAAGTTTTGCCTTAAAAAGACAAAAAAAGCACCAATTTACATTTTGGGCTACACTTGTTAGCGTGCACACATCGCGATGGTGTCTGTCTCAGTTCGGGAAAATAACTGTAATATGCAGTAAATTTGTAAATATACAGTAATGTGTTTTTCAGTATAAACTGATGATTAGCATATTACCTCTACCACACGGCAGATCTCCAACATGTGATCTCCAACGTCTGTCTGCATTCCTTCCACAGGTTTTGTCTAAAATTTAAATACATTGGATGAAATAAAAACCAAGTTAAGATTATTTTTTTAGAATAGACAAAATAAACTATTTTCTTATTCTGAACGTTGAGCTGAGAAAACGCTCCACTAACGAGTATCACGGCTCATTTTTTATTTGGAGTTGTTCAAGTTTTTGTATAGTACGTATTTTGTAAATTTCGATGTTCTGACGTCCCCAAGTAGACAGTTGTCTGCTATGCTTGACGAGTTCTTCTTACTCCTGCTTGTCAACGAGACGTTTTATAGGCCTAGGCTCTATGGCTGGTAATGAGTAAACGTCGTGTCGCGTCGTTGTGATTGTCAACCCTGGTTAAACATAATCAATGTGATATAAAAGTCATTTTAGTGAATTTCCCATATAGGGAATAAGCTATTACCCTAAGTCTAACCCTAGGTCTAGTGGTGAGACCTAACTCTGGTGCCGATTACCCATAGGCCAAAAACACCCTCCTTTCATAGTCATATATATTATATATTGTAAGAAAGGGGATTAACCCCGTACCCACGGTGCTCATCTATGCAGACACTCTGTTCACATTACACTTAGTCGACCAGTTGGTGTGAACAGAGTTGAACAATAGCATGAGCATCGATTTACAAATTCCTTTCCCAGCTGATGTGAGCTAGGCGATGACCGGTAGGGCTGACTTCCAAGAAACATCGTTAACCTTTAAGCCACACACCCTATCGGTAATCAGCCAATGAGAAGGGCTAATGAAGAAGATGGAGGGGTGACGAGTCTTGGATCTGGAGGACATGGAGAGGACAGTCGAGGAGATCACCACGGGCCACCGGAGAAAGGAGATCAGGAGTTTGGGAGTGCGTGTATCGGTGTGTGTGCTTCTGGGACAATTAACAATTGTAAAAAGAATAAAATATATAACTAAAGTTTTGTCAAACATACAAGTCATGTAATTTGTCAGTAACTAATTCTTTTAAAATTTCAATTGATTTTATTTTCTTGTAAATTTAACGTTGTAAATTAATTGATCTTATTATTGTTGTTTTTTGCATTTTCAAAGTTTTCTTTTGCTGTTGTAACACTTTGTTACTTTTGTTGTTTTTCTAAATTTAAATTTTTGTTCATTACATGTTGAGTAACACCCTTAAGCAGTCTTATGTCTCATTAACCTAACGAGTTTAGGAAAGATGGGGACAAGGAAAGTTAGGGACACGGAAAGTTAGGGCCAAATAGGGGTTCGACCGGGGGGGAGGGAGAGATTAGCTGAACTAGGCTCTGAAACGACTCTTTTAGAACGAATCGTTCTCCTGTTTCAGTTCACAGAGAGCTACAGTAAAGGGATTGACTTCACATTCATCATTTGAATATTTCCAAACAGTAAACCTAAAAATGTTAAAAGTCAGTCAAGTACTGATTGATCCAGGCCTAATCGCCTAGGTTTGCTAGCTTCTTTTTTACCCATTTTGGGTAAGTTAAATATATATTACAAAAAATATAAACGCATTCTATGCATAATATTACTGAATATAATGTTATGACACATTGTTAAGATATATTGTTATTATTAGTTTAAAATTAAAATATTTTTGTGATTGTGTAGGCCTACGATAAACGTTATGAAATAAATTGTATTTTTGTTTGCACATTGCGTGTATTTGGTTACTTTTATGTCAGATAGACATTTTATCTCTGATCCGCTGTCATTTTTTCGGTACTTAAGTAACCTAAGTACTTACTAAAATTAATGTTAATTAAATAGGAAATAAATCTGACAATTTTTGCAGAATATTTTCGTAGAAATCAAGCCAGGTAAATGGAAATTAGCTTAGTCTGCAGGTTTGCTGCGGCGGGGGTATTTTAATTTAGTTTTGCGCCTCGCGGCACTACCGGATCGCACAGCGAAAGACATACGGTAAGTAAGAAGATTATTCCTATGCTTGGCGTTATAACTATATGCCTACTTTTGCCTTATGCAACAACATACCTTGCATGTTAGGCTGCCAACTAACTGAATTCGTTGTTACTCATGGTTTTGACATAAACAATGTTTTAAATGTAGTTCTACTGTTTTTTTCCCTAAAATATCATTGTTTCTGGTTAAATTAATTTGATAGTTTCATCCTGAGATCATTAGTTCACCTTATTTAGATTAACAAGTTATTGCCAATTGACCAAAAATTGATCAAAATGTATTTCTTTGTTAAGACTTAGTACTATTGATTCACTCTGATTCGGATTCCTTTGACCCTACTACGAGTTATTATTGCCCGCGTGTCTGTGACATAAGTTAGTTATGTACCGAGTGTACTGGTTACTGGTACTTTGAACTAATAATATTTTTTTTAAACCTGTGCAGATAACGAACGTGTAAAATTTGTTAGGTACTAAATTAATTGTCCTGGAAGTGATTCCAAAACATGTCACTGATTGTATATAATAACTGAACTCAACTGATTGTGTAATAACTTAAAACTTAAAGATACAAGTGCAAGTTTGTAGGAAGAACACATTTCTAAACAGATCGGCATTTGTTTTTAGACGACATATTATATCGTCACATTATTGGTATTTGGTAAGTGACGTTTGCAGTAAAGAATTGAAGAAAACGTGTCCAATATCATACAAATAATTGTTTTGGGTAATTTTGTATATACATATTTTAATCAGTATATATTGACGACGAAGGAATAAAAATTAGGTCTAAATTACCACCACTTTTAAGAATTCAGAAAAAAATTGTTTTATCAACAGCTGATCCTTAGAATTCCTCTTTTGCGATTGCCACGTAAAACCAAAACAATATTTAGGTTGGGAATTGGAGGTCAATCACACTCTCCCAACTACACAAAAGTTAACTGACCCGAGTGACCTGACACCCTAATAACTGGCCTGTTTGAAAGGAAAATCTAAGAAATTGCAAATGAAGTCGATTCGGAGAAACGTGCAAGGGGATTAACGGGACATCACTGTATTCTGTTCACTCATATTTCCTTTACCTTTCCAAGTACTGAATTTTTATGGGTTTGCTTGGATTAAACAATATGTGGAATACTTTGTACCAGATGCCTACGACTACATTTTACAACAGGTATTTCTTTAATCTTTCTCAGTAATAACTAGTCACGGGTTGTTCCTGAATTATATTGTATTATTGTTCTAATATAAACAAGATAAATTCGTCCATGTTCACGGTCGTATAACATAAATTGGAGGCTATAACATCCTCACGAAGTTGAAGCTACTGTTTTAGAAATATTCAAGTCCATTTTCGATTTTAAAAATGTATGCTTGAATAATCATTTACAATTCGGGTTTACTCCGTGATTAATAAAATAACCCTACAAATACACTTCAATGTACTAAATCTGTTGTCCCTAAGCTCTACAAATAGTAACCATTTAAACAAGGTGAAAAATGTAAGGGGAGGTAGAACTAGATATAAATACAACAAGTCGTAGTTACAACTAGACCTAGTTACAACAACAATAGAGAACAAGTCGATTTAAAGAGTCGTTCTCAGAGCTTAGTCAGCCTCCGTTTGCCTCTCCCTCGGCTCAAAACCCGATTTGTCCCCAAGTTTCCGTGGCCCTAAGTTTCCTCGTCCCCATCTTTCCGGACACCAACCTAACACCTCTTGACTAAGCTAAGCGAGTGAATCATTTTAGGAAACTTAAACTTAAAGTGAGGCATGGGACTCGCAATATATATGATGTGTGTGTGTGTTGGGTGTCCGTCAGTGCAATAACTCAAGCAAAAATGATCCGATTTGAATAAAGTTTTGTAGAAATGTGTAAATTTACTTTTATTCGAACGAGTTCACGAACCAGCATGATCAGACTATGGGAATCGAATCGAAGTATTTGGGGTTTATGGGGTAAAAATTGGGTTATACCCTTTTCAACCCTAAAAATTCAAAAGTTTACAATTTCTTTCCAAATAATTTGTAGAACTTAAAAAAATAAATATTTTTGCTTATTTTAAAAAGTGTTTATAATTTTGTTTAAACATTTTAAATTTTAAACGAGACGGGTGTCAGTCAGGCGGATCTCGTATTCTAACACTTGTGTGGCTCCGAGCTTTGGCGTCAGCACCTCAGGCAGCAGAAACAGGTGCGTTAACAGACCTTTACCTTAACATTTTGCGGAATTAAACTTTAGAAAACATTTACTATAATAACTTTAACATTAACATCAACATTACGAAAAGATTGGACAATCCTTCCACCAGTGAACAACCCAGTTTTTGACCACATTTTTAGAGGTTTCCAAGCATTTTAAACTAAATGTAACGAGCTTTTTTCATCGTAGAGTAAGACTTTGTTTTATAACCGCGCACCTGCATCTTTCCTCCTGTACACAACCTATTCTTTTGAACCACGTCTAACATTTTCTCTCTGGCAGAAACCCACAGAATGTGACCTGGTTGCCCGCAAAAAACAATAAATCGGCTGCCTCTTCTACTGTGGCGGTTCATCACCTTCCCCTGTATGCTACACCAGGATGGGGACCATTACAAATAATATGAGCGTCCTGGGCGCTCCTCGTCAGGATTATAATACCTTCAGTTCCTCCATGTCACGTCGGGGCATGAAAACCTCCAAGACTTTCTAGTGGAAAACATCAAAGTTACTTAGAGACGCAGAGGCGCAAGAAATCAAGCAATCTTTTGCCCATCGGTTTAGATACTATAGAGCATCGAGCTCCATCAAAGTTGAATCAAAGATGCCAGGTTAAAAACATATGCACATGCGCAACACACTCTTAAGGAAAGAGAACAGGCTGTCCACATTTGACCCATCCACCAGCCGAAGACCAGTCAGGACTGCAAATGAATTTGACTAGGAATAGCCACTATTGACTTGAAAACCCATTTGAGCAAGAAACTGTGGTCTCAATGTGGCCGCTGCCAAGGTGGGTGTGTGAGAAGTGGATGGCAGAGCTAGCGTAGGCACCTGGAGCAGTGTACTTGATGACAACAGTGCCTGAGGGGAATCTCCCAGAGCAACAACTTGAACATTGCTTCTCACAAATATTGTCGTCTTAATGGATCTCTAGTTTCTAGCAAACAGTTTTAACCAATTTGTCAATTGAAGCAATTTAGCTAAGACCAGTAGGCAAGTTACTCCAACTACTGATTTCACCACTCAGTTCTTCATTTCTTTCTTTACATGACTCCAGCTCCTCCTTCATGTTGAGTATCTGATCCCAAACTTGAGTCACACCTAAAATCTGTCGAAATTGGATTCAAAACGTGCGCATGACACCACCTAGAATACACCTCATACACCAGTTTCGGCTTCTTCAAATGTTCGGGGACAACCAAAGCCAACCCGACTCTCAACCAGTACTTAAATAAAACAATAAATTTTGACAAAGAAAAAACACAGCTTAACTTCTAAAGCTTCTGGACTGAAATGCCTATACGCTTAATGGGGTCCCAAAAGAAGAACCTGCCCATTCATATGGTCTCAGCTGCAAAAAAAAATGAACAACTAACATACACACACACGTACATACACATACACACACCAAACCACACTTATTACGTGTATGATGGGGTGAACACACAAACAAGATATTTTTTTAGTTCGGCAAAGCTTTTGAAACAAAACTACGACCGTGTGCACCCCTCCCCATAACAACAACAATAACAATTTTCCCAAAAACTGCCAGATCAGAACTACCCGAGAACACAGTCCATCCATGGTCAATATAAAACAATTCAGAACGCGGCCAGTGATCGGGTTTCTAAGTTTTCTAATCGTGAAACCGTGAAGTCCTCATTTTAGAGCCAGGACCACAACATCGCAACCACTTTATCTAAACCACGCTCTGCTACCATGTATACCACGCACCCGCACTTGCTCTCAAGCGAACAAAATTTGAAGTGTCTTCCCATTTGCAGAGGCGAGGGATGGCTCACAGCCTAACAACAAGAACTACACTGGAGTAAATGTTCAAGAACAATCGTTCGAGACGAACAGCTATAGAAAAAAAGGTCACCTATAATCGTAAACAAATATTTCCTAAAACAATAATCAGTATTAAGATAAACCACTTTTCATATAAAACATATCACTTAAATACAATACACTACATATACAGTAAAAAAGAGATCAGATAGGATTTGGGGGAAGGTAGGAATAACTTTACATAAATATTGACTCGTTAAAATACACTTCTTTAATACTTGGCAACTTAAATTTAAAGATCCTTGAAAAGCGGAAATATACGACAAAAAATATATATATATGGATTTGAACGGATGTTGTTTTTGGCTTCTAGGGACATTAAAATGATAAAAGTATATCAGTCCCGGGCCCAGATCCTACCGTGCTACCTACGGTAATGGCTACTTCCCCATAGCGAAATTCGCTAAAATGAGTCGTGATACTCGTCAGTGGAACCTACTCACGGCTCAACGTAGACAATTCGTTGGTTTACATATTTAAAACATATAAGCTAATATAGTACAAATATTGTCACATTATATTTTAAATTTTAACACACATCATTACAGAATACTCAAAATTGCTTCATTAAGTTTTATTACTTTTTATGTGTCTTAAACTTGATTTTATACATTTTCTTAAACAACCCATAAAATGAGTTAAGACATAAAGAGCTTATGGTATAAATTTCAGTAAATCAGCTACTGATTTTGACTCTAGCTCTTTACACACACGGACAAATACATTAACCAGTATGGATAGACTTGTTATTCTTCCCAGACAAACGTTTAGATTCTCACTCTATTTCACATATAGAACTAACTTATACCTTCTTGCAACTTATAGCCTCACAATTTGGCTTGCAAAACTGTCAAGGAAATGATTTTAAGACGATCTAGATCCTATTTATAGAAATTTGTTCAATTTACTAGTTGCGTCATTTAATCGTGTATCCTTAAAAATCTATTAGACACGTAGGCTCTTTTGTTTACTTACAAGAGACATCCTACTTATGATACTTGATACTTACTTGAATTTGAGACATCTTAGTTTGCCCTGGTGCCAAAGCCTTTAAACAAACAAATGATATGTTAATTATTGTTTTAAAACCCAGGAAATTATCGTAAAATATCAAAGTGTTAATTTATACATTTTTTAAATCCTAATGCAAAAGAATATTCATGAAAAGTGTAACTAAAAATCAAACTTTTACTTCAGAAGACTTTTACAGTTTCTTTACAGCTGTTGGGAGGCGATTGAAAATTTCATACCTAAACAGGATAACAATTCAAGACCAAACTTAACCTAGATCTGTTCATGTGAAAGTTATTCCTATTCCTTGTATTATACATATGGATTTCGCTGTTTTTCAGAAATACACTCTCATTATCTTTGATTGCTACTACAATATAGGCATTTATAAGCACTGAAAAATGTAACTGTTTACAATAGTCATTGCCCCACACAGTTTGAACATTGGTTTGCAATGGGATCGGTGTTGGGCATTACATACAATTCTTACTGCCTCTAAGAACACTGTGGGTCCTGCTGGAATGACCCCAAAGCCTACCATACCCAATGTGAGATGGAAAAAAACAAAGAAAGCATATTTAAGGAAATCAAAAAGCATATCACTTTTAAGTCTACGCAACAAGAAAATGACTCTACCTAACTTTCAACAAAGTGAGTCTATGTGGTCACTCCAGCTTAGAACAGAGTCAAGTTTAAAGTTAGACTGAACAGTTGCAATGGTCTTCATGGCTAGCAAACAACTTTGTATCACCAGCGTACAACAGCACCTTTGTGTCAAGGGAGAAATATGTCATTTACATGTCATTGCAAACAATAAACAGAAAGGGTCCCAATATTGAACCCTGGGGCACACCATACTTAAGAGGCAATGGGACTGATTTGAATCCATTTAGATTAACAATCTGTTGTCTGTCACTTAAGTAGGAATTGAAAACCTTGAGGGCAGAATCAGCTAGGCCATACTTTTTTAATTTTCTGGAAGGTATGTAATGAGGCACACAATCAAAAGCACAGGAATGGTCACAAAGGCTGAACTCTCTTTGGATTCAAACGCACTAAGAATATATTGGGCAAGGGAATCCACTGCGGAAACAGTGGATCTTCCCTTCCTGAAGCCAAACTGAGCCGGTAAAAGCAGATTATGCTCCTCAAAGAAGCCGCACAATTGTGTGAGCATGATTGCTTCTTAACCCTTGGCAAATATGATTATGATTGAGATTGGGCGAGCTAGAGGAGCTATCGAGGGGACCCTTTTTGTAGACTGGTATGGTTCTAGTGATTTTTTAGACACTGGGGAAAACTCCCTCCACAAGACAAGAATTCATCAGAATTGTCAATATTGGTGCGATTTCATGGACATATTTTTTTTTTTAATTGTGGACTTGTCATATATGTCCCTACTACTAGTTGCTATAAAGAGAAAATTATTGAAGTGAAAACATATTCAATAAAGTTCACAACATCCCCCCCCCTTTAAAGTTGCTAACCAAGCATGTGTAAATTTAAAGCAGTAAAATGGTGGTATGGCCCAGCGATGGCAGCGGAAAAGCGGTGAGTCGAAAACGAAAGAGACACATTTAAAAAGTGAAACCTCGATTGTAGGCCTCGATTAGTGCCGATGATTGAAAAAAATAGGTTTCCCGGGCGGAAACCACATTGATTCACAGCCTTTTCTCTGGTTATCAAAACTGAAGTAAAATTTGTTACACGTAGAATCTCCCGTTCCCGACCTGGATGATGATTATTTATTTTTATTAACAGTTACATATTATTGTACCTGTGATCAAGTAACTCCCTTATGACAAGTCAAAAAAATACTATGTAACTTACCCATATATTTACTAAATGCTCAAACTCGCATTGTGACATTTATAATTCGGCTTGTATTTCTCCAACAGATTATTCATCTGTAGAAGAAGTTCATGGTGCTCTTATCGTGTCTATTAACATCTAAACACAGAAACGTTGCCCAAAATGGTACCTATCTTGATTATTTGCACTGACCTATATTACGGACCGTAGTGCACTGGGTTGGTAGCCTTATTGAAAATAACACGACATTTTGGCTGTAAAAAATTGCACAAAGAGTAAATGCTATTTAAACAGCGACAGTCATGACAGAAGGGTCATAATCCTTTTAAACTAGATCACACGATCCTTTATATAAGATACGTTGATTAACAATGCATGTAAACGTCAATATTTACGTAACAGCCAATTTACAGTATTTTTAGCCTTTTGGAAATGCCACATTGCTCTGTAATTTGCATTATTTGTTGCCAATGAAGCCGCACGACCATATAAGTGAAGAGGCCCCTAACAATTCACGGATAAAAGCTAACTCCACTTCAAGTAAATTCCAATACACCTAACATTCCGTAGAGAGATTATATTGAACACTTTATGTAATTGATAAGGCTGAGACATCTAACTGACATCCCCCATGTCATGGAATTCCAGCTTTAACAGTACCTCACAATAAATTTCTCAAAACTATGCTAAAGGATTATTCATTAGCACAGAAGTACGATATGAACTGACGCGACGTGACGAAGGAAAAATCAAACTTACACTGTAACGGAAATACCCCTCTCTGAAGTTAGAACGTGTCTTCTCAACAAACAGATATTTTTTCTCAAATAAAATCATAGACTATTTAGCATTACACTAAAGAAATCGAGGAAGTGTTTAACTACAAAATATCCATTATACGATTTTAATACTACTTAAAGTTTTTTCCAAAAAATAAGAGATACCAGTTAACATACTAATAATAACTCCGATGACGTAAGGTATGGGAAGTATTTTTTTAGCCTAATTGAATGGCCAACCATATTTGGTAACTAACGCAATTAATATAGTTATTGTTTTTACACTTATTACTCTTCAGACAATGCTAAATGCTCAAAATATGTATAATTTCACTCAATTTATAGCAGTTAGATGAATTACCGTAAGCCTAGAAAGTAAGTAGAAAGTAACGTAGTAGAAAGTAAGTAGTAAGTCGATTTCGACGGGTTTCACCTAGTAGGTAATTACACCCCTGCCACAGTAAACCTGCAGACTAAGCAAATTTTCGATTTGCCTGATTAAATTTCACAAAAATAAGTTAGAAAAATACACTATTGACAGGTTTGGAACTATTGTGATAGCTTTTCGTTTATAGTAAAACTATTCAACATATTGTTTGATCAAAACGAAAAAAAACCATCATTGATTTTGTATCCTAGGTAGCTGAAGTGTTTACAGCATGAGTTAAAAAAATCGTACTATTATCAAGTTAAGCAATACGACTGATAAATAACCATTCCTACACATGTTCATAATCGTTTCTAAATTAAATAATGTTAGTGAAACAGTTTTTAAGCCATTACAGACAATGTCTCTTTTGCATACTGACCCCGTTGCAAGACACGGGTAGAGCTGCTAGTTTATTATAAGATATAAAAAATGTGAATATCATCTTTTTATCATTGGTTTGGGGAAAGAAAAGTTATATTATGACGCTCAATAACTATAATATATTTTGTAATGATACCATGAAAAAAAAAATTACTCCACAAAATGTCACTAACATTTCATAAGAGCAGATATGGGCTAAGTGATATTGACAATACTAAAAATTTACCTTCAACATGTTTATATTTGAATTTAAAGGGCCGAGTAGATGAAAGCTACCACGTAAGTTGTCCTCGTCTGTGTCCAGGAATGAACCATGCCCGTCTTCAATTGGTCCCTTTCCTTCGCCAGGATAAGTAACTTTTACAATTCTTCTCTTTAACCAGACACCAGGCTTCAATGGCATTTGGTAACCTCGAGTCTGAAAAATCATAGTTAAAGTTTACAGAAGAATCTTTATATCTGGACATCCTGTATTTAAATATCACAAGAGTAGAGCAGCAGAAATTTATCACAAGTACCTATATGAGACAGATTTCACATGCTCATTTCTATACTGAACACATTTCTTGTTCACTTTACCATTCGCTTTAACAAGATAATGAAGAGGACTATTTTTTTAGAATTTTGTGTATATTATTTTCGTATAGGAAGTATTTTGAGTTTAAATGCGTTGTTTATAAAACACTCAATAAAACCCAAAAAGTTTAAAATTTTACCCGCTTAGCTCACATATAGCTCTTTTTCTGAACCTTATGTGAACTGTACTGAACAGCTTGGAGTCAAAAGTGTGCTTTCACTTTGGATGTGCCCCTTTTTTTGGCTAATTGCTCCGTAATAAATCAAAAGTTTTCAATAAATAAAAAGTATTTTTGGTAGATTTTTTCTTAAAAACTATTTTTGTAAAACAACTGATTTGATTAGGCCTATATAAAACTTTTCTGGTATACCTACCACATTTTAGTATCTTTGATATTTAGAATTACTACAACTACTTATTTTTAATTGTCTAATGTAAAATTCAAGTTATATCCTTAATTACATACTGAATTTTTGTATTCTTACGTGGTTCAAAAACGTGTTCTTACCTTTTGTGGTTGAATGGCCATGTCCATTGTTTGCTGTTAACAAAATAGGTGTAAAAATTAAATTTTATTAATTCAAAACTAGAAACTGAATAGATGAAATGGGCAGTTTTTGTTATGATTTTAACAAAATCTTTTGGTAATTAACTGAGTACCTACTCAGGTTTACCATAATTTTCACCTTTAGCTGTTAACAAAAACTATCTATTTTACAACATCTTGGTTAATTCTAACAGATAATACTAAATAAGGTTATAGAATAGAAAATTTCCAATTTCTTTTAAAAATTAGATTACGGGTTTTATTTAATGTACATATTTCGGAGGTAATAGCATGAACAACAAGTTCTAAAATGTCACCAAGTGTGTACTTTAATTACTTGTACAATTATGTGTTTTTAAGGACTACCTATCTATCAGATTTAAGATCCAAGAGTTGGCTAAGCTTGAACACAGACCAGAAAAAATACATTCTAAATATACAGGTAGGTCATAGAGCCATGGACATTTTATAAATAGTAATTCATTAGTGTGTTAAATTACTGAACATCTTCAAACTTATTTCTTTAAATAACTTAATTACATCAAAAATGTATACGGGGCACCCTGTGTGTGTAATCATAACGTAGGCTTGCCATTTCTAGACCATTCACTGCTATAAGAACTATAAGAAAGTTGTAGATGTAACTTTACTATCTGTTATTTTGGATAAGGTTTATTGGTTTAGATTGCAATAATGAATAGTTTTTATCTTGGAAGTCTACTTCTACTGTCATCATAGCATCATACTTCCAACTACTATTGAATTAAGTCAAATAAATAATTATATGCTTAGGTGAGTCAACTGTAGAACATACTTACCTATCAGTTAAAGATAAAACTGAAATATGGTGATGGTAACTTAAATTTTGAACTCTTTCTTGATAATTTTAGATCTTGTAGAACAACTAACTATACTTGGAATTTGTACCTTGTCTCTTATTTGTGTATTGATGTTGATGAAATGTTGTTCTTTTATATTCATATGTTGAGAAATCATATGGTAAAGAGAAAAATTACAAAACAATTGGTAAAAGGTTAACCATAGATCATAACAACTTAGTTTAAGCATTGACTTTAGATACCGACGCAGAAAGGACTAAGCAAGAGGCAGACCCTCGTTACCCATTACACGGCCACCAACCTGCAGAGCGACGGCTTCGGTCCAGAAAGAGCTTTTAATCACGGACACGAGTCCTGGATGGATCACTCTCAATCAATCGGGTGGCAAGGTGGGAGGCCACGTTGACTAACCCTCCCATACCAGCCAGGGAGGAACTGGCTCCTGGTGGAGGCCTTCATTACACGGTGTGGAAGACCCTAAATCGAATTAGGGTCAAGGTACCAAAATGCAAGACAAACATGCAGAAATGGGGTCTCTTACCAGACGAAGAAAACATCTTGTGCGCGTGTGGTGCTGTTCAGGATCCTGGCCATCTGCTGATCTGCCCACGCCTAGACCAGTTTTGCACATTAGATGATCTTTTACATGCGAATGACAAAGCCACATCCGTAGCTATTTTTTGGAAAAGCGAAGCCTGATTTTCGGACACGGGAAGAAAGTAAGTATAAGCTCCTTAATATGGCCTACAGAGAAATCGGTAAATTTGGTGTTTTGAGGGTAAAAAATGAGAAAACCCAATTTCTAGCCCATAAGCCACCTCGTAAAACCCCGTTCCGATGGCCCGACCATGCTGGTTCGTGAATTCATCCAAGTTTATTCCGCCTTACACCTTTAAACCAAATTTCATCAAAATCGGGCAAAAATTACTCAAGTTAAGCGGTTCACGGACGTGTATATATATATATATATATATATATATATATACGTATAAAAAAATTTAACGAATGGTGTTTTTGGCTTCTAAGGACATCAAAATAAAAAAGTAAATCGGTTCCGGGTCTAGGTCTTACCATGCCACCTACGGTAATGTAGCTACTTCCCTATAGAGAAATTCGCTAAAAGAATTGCGCAACATGAGGAACTAATTTATATTGATTTCACATAAACAGATATGTTTTATAACCTATAACGTTAAAAATATTGCGGGATGATAAAATTAGATTATTACGATTTCAAATGGCTCACGTGGGGTCATTAGGGCCAAGTAGTCACGCACTGCGCTATCGTCGGGCGCAGGCCGAAAGCCACGAATGTTTATCTCTATAAGCTGGGGGGACGTAAGCCACGGCAATTAGCGAGGGTTTGAGTAGTTATAATCCTGGGGACGAAAGCCACGACGGCGGGCCAGGTAGTTGGGAGGGGCGAGGGAGAAACGGGAATCTCTCACATGAACATGGCAATTATAATATTACAGTGATGGACGCAAATATTTTGCTAAAGCTGTTTGCTGATGACTCAATGAATTTTCAAATACAGTTGTAAGAGCTAAAAATTTGAAGGAGCAGACAAATTAAACCCTATAATAACATATTCCATATAATATTCCATATATATTCTAATAACTTATTGTAAATAAGTTGCTATTTAGAAAGTGAGTAAATCATTTTTTCTATTAAGATTGTGTTTACAATACATTATACCATCGATATGTCTAGCTACTGTCAACAATGCAACATTGGCTAAACCTTTGCCTGATTAATTTACAACTGTTTGCAACAACTTATTTTTACTCCCTATGGAATAAAAATGTTACTTTGGACCCGCAACGCATGAGGTATAAATATGAATGTTTTGCTTTATTATGACGAAAACCCCTTATTGTATTGAGTATTATGGAAGATAATATGATTATTTAACGATAAAAGTTAAACTTAAAACTTAAGTTATACAAGGTTTTACGTCGGCACGGAAGTCCAATACATGTTTAGTTTTGCATGTTGTAATGTTGAATGCAATAAGTGATGTGGTATATCTTCTATCACTATTTTTTGTTAAACAATAACTGTGAATATTATTGATATTTAATTTAAAAAATCAAAACAATTACATTTATTCATAAGTATTAGGTAACTAAAAAACTTCGTCAATATTTTTGCGTGGTTGATTGTCACATCCTACACAACAATTATGTTGCTATATTGCTTACTATGTATCTCTATAGCATAGTATTATACAAATATGAACCACACTAATCATTTCTAAATATAAAAGATTTGTTAAAATTCTGATCAGAAATAAAGTTAAGTTTTGGAAAATTATATTGTTAGTGAAGAAGGAAAATTCAGTAGCAGCCGTTCTTATGCATCTGCAGGCACGATGTGGTGAATGTGGTTAACATAGTTTAGGTTGAACTATAAATGTATGCATTACTTTTACGTTAAAGAACCAGTACTATATACCAGTGCGTGTAATATTTTTACGGGTGTAGGTAACATAATAGCGTAGGGTTGTTGACACCCGATTTCCAGTATGGAGGGAAGTATCTTGGAATTAGTCATTAGAATGCTGCGTCACCCTTACATTTCGGCATATTTAGGATTTCGCATCAGTTTTGCCTAAACATTCAAAGCGTGAAGGCCATGGAAGATTGTGCGGAGTTGGTTTTTAGTAATAAGGGCAAAGAGTCCTTGATGTTTAATAACTTTAAATTCAATTTGCAATCGGGGTTAAAGTGTGGAAGAAAGAAGTGGTTTTGCGAGAGAAAAAGGCCTGTAAAGCGAAATTCTTCACCCAGAGTAAAATCTTATAATTATTTATCTTTATCTATTTACCTAATTGATCAAGAAAAGTGTGAAACGTCAGATAGCAAATTAATTTATAGCCATTGAAGACTTCATTTAAATTATTATTTTGGTTTCAACTGTATCAGTATGTTTTAGAACTGACATTTGTCATATGAGCAAAAAACCGTAATCCTTAATAAGAGACAATGTCATCTAAAAAGTAAAATGTTGTTGATTATGTAATAAATAATACATTATTTATCCTAGTAAGATAGTAAAAATCGGCTAGTCAACGGCTCGGACAAATTCATACTGTTTAAAACTTATTTTCATCATACTGTCCAGAAAATTGCCATTTTTAGTACTCTAAATCGTCCGCAAAACCATCGTTTTCGGATAACTTCAAAAATAGGGAACAGAAAAAAAAACTATGATAAACTTTCCAGTTTGCTAACCTCAAAATGTGTATGGTGCATAATAAATTGTATTAGTACATTATGAAAAGGCTACTAATCACACGATATTTTAAGTTTATTAAATTTTAAATCCTGAAATAAATAAATTTTGATCCATATTTGATATTATAATAGAAACATTCAAAACAGTTTTAATGTATTTTTGTTATTTTTACTTTTTCACCACAATTATGTGATAAAATCACAATTTTATAATTATTTGCAAATCTAAATGAATTAGGCTTTCCAATGACCCATTAATTAACAAAACTCGGTTGAGTAGAAAGTAGTATAGGTTTAGTTGTACAAGGTTTAAAAAAATATATTTAACTAAGTATTTTGTCACCACTATAAATTCGAAGGTTGCTTAAGCTTTTTTGAAGAAAACTTTTAAATGGTGCGGAAATCGATCAAAGTGTAAGGTAATATTCTGAAAGAGAACTGTATTTCATGCGGGGTTATGATTTAGTGCCCTGATGGTAAACTACTTTTATTTGACATAACTGTTATATTATATGATGAGCTACAAAAGCCTGACATAATTTCAGTAGTTAGGCTAAAGCATATCAATTTTATGTGAAATCAAATATAAACTGTTTTTTGCCAGGCATATATCAACTGTCCTAAAATGGTGACGAATTTGTTCATTTCAAGTTATTTCAAAGTTATTTTCAAGTGCAATCCCGTTCATTCATACTTATAGCCTACTAAAAATGTAAAAATCATGCAATTGCTGTATAATGGGAGTTCCTGTTTTTGGCGTATTACGTCAAGTATACGCTGTTAATCTTTTTGTAGAGAAATGTATATGCATGACATCAAGTTTTAATAACACCTTTTACTGGAATTAGAGGAGAGCCTGCAACTGTTTAGGGCTCTGGGGGTTATAAGTACCATAATAAAACATCATGCACGGTTTTTATGTAACTTATATTTGTACGGTAATTATTTGGACGTAGTGACTACTCGCAAAAGTGAAATTTTTTTTCCATAATGACCTAAATTTCACGCTGAATCCGAAAATGACGTTTTTATTTTTCGTTATATTTGTATATAACTTTTCAATACAGTTATGGTGGAACTAACTGTAGCCTAAGTAGTGGTGAACTGGTGGACCTATCGCGAACAGCTGTTTTGAAGATAGGGGCGGAAATGGCGTAGTTATAGCAGATTTCCGGTGGTACGTCACTTCTGACGTTTTGTATAAAATTAGCGTACGTCGTCACAAGTGCAGCAAGCAGGTGGTAACAGGATACAGGTGGTAGGAGCTGGTGATAATGGATAGGGGATGAAACAGCTGTCTGTACAGTAGTGTGTTTAAATAGCTAATACTTGTTCGTTTGCAATTGTCTTAAATGTATTGGGAATATCAACCAACAGCTACACCAAGGTTTTAACAAAACACAGCTTACATGTAGACAATAAATTGAGTTAAAATCATATTGTCGACGGTAACATTTAACAGTAGCCTACAGTATTGTACTAGTGCCCGCGGCGGCGTGGTGCAAGGTTGTGTCACCGGCCGCCGTGAATTAGGCTGAGGCCGCGAAGGGAAAGTGAGCGGGCAGTGGAACAAGGTCAAATGCCCCTACTCAACCTCCATGTGGATTTGTATCCACAATTCTACAGTTTGCTTTCGGACATAGCGGCGGAGTGTTGTACGGTCCTGGGTCTATCATTTGCAGTGATGCCATTGTAATACTACACCTTGATTGACTCAACAACACAAGGTATTGTAAAAACCAATTTTAATTTATATCTTATGTTAGATAGTCGCAGGTTAGCTGTTTGTGGTTAAAAGATGTTTATACAGAAGTACGTTCCAAAATAGTAGATATATTTTCCCCATGTTAGTAAATATTTGTTGGTCTTAAAAAAA